TCAAGAACAATGACTGGTTCGATCGAGGCACTGGCTTCTGCAAGGGCGTCGTAGCAAGCGTATGTTTTCCCATGTCTTGGACCGTTTAGGCGCCGTGTTTGCGCAACTCCCACTATTTGACCCTCTGCAAAGGCTCGAGGCTAACTTGTGCGACTGCAGCAAGAGGAAGCGAGAATTGTAGTCCTATCCGAGGACGACCAGTCGCGACAACTGCTCGAAACGCGTATCTCCAAAGATGACGGCTACCAGAAACAACAGGGTATGCGCCCATATCTTGCTGCGGGAAGACATCAGCTGAACACATACAGACACACTCATCGTTTGGACCGAGCAGAATGGCACCGACATGGCCCTCAGCTTCCAGGAGCCAGAGGGCTGCGCTAGCATATGGTGAGCCGGAATGCCTTGCAGTTGAAGCCATGTGCTAATACATAACAGGGACTTTGTGAACGAAGTCCAATCGCGGCTGCAAGCACTCGCTCAGGGTACGTGATATCAATCGCGCCTAGCTTCAAGCGAGCTAATGCTGACATAGACGATGGTCTTTCAGACGACATCGATCACATTAGTCCCATATTACTCCCAAGTCCCGATCTTGGCAACCTCCACGAAATCGAGAACCACATGCGCGCTGCCAACTCGACGCCGGGCGGTCGTGAAGCCTTGGCCAAGTTCATACTCGCCCAAGATTACATACCAAAACTCATCCCACTCGTAGACATGGCAGAAGATCTCGAAAGTGTCTCGGACCTACACCGCTTATGTAGCATCGTGAAGATGCTCATCCTGCTCAACGACACCGCCATCATCGAATACGTTGTAACAGACCCGGTGGTTCTGGGAGTCGTTGGGGCATTGGAGTGTGAGTACTGGTCTCTGCGACCTCCCACATGGCTTGCTGACATCGCGTAGACGACCCAGACTTTCCTCTACACAAAGCCAATCACCGACAGTACCTTGCCGACGAATCCAAGTTCAAAGAGGTTGTGCGGATAGAGGACGAGAACATAAAGCGGAAGATCCACTACACGTACCGACTTCAATACCTCAAGGATGTCGTTCTTGCGCGCATCCTCGACGACCCTACGTTCAGCGTTCTGAACTCGCTTATATTTTTCCACCAAGTCGATATTGTCCAGCATCTCCAAGCGAACGGTCCATTCTTGAAGGAGCTTTTCAGCATCTTCTCTCCGAAGGAGCAAAACTTGGCACGAAAGAAGGACGCAGTGCTGTTCATTCAGCAATGCTGCGCTATAGCGAAGAGCTTGCAAGCGAATGTGAGAGCGCAGCTATATCAAAACTTCATTAGCAGCGGCCTGCTAGAAGTGATCCAATTTGCGCTCAAGCACCAGGACGCTTCGGTTCGTGTTGCGGGAACCGATATACTCGTGTCGCTGATCGACCATGACGCGCTGATGGTGCGGAGCTATATCTTCAAGGCTATCCAGGAGAAGTCGAAGCCGCTCACCGACACCTTGATCGAGCTGCTCCTTATTGAGGTGGACCTTGGAGTCAAGGCGCAGATGGCTGATGCGATCAAGATTCTACTTGATCCCAACGCCAACTCGGCTTCTATAGAAGCGCTCGGGCGGACGAATAGTGACTTCCTTGCCAAAATGAGGGGACAATTGCCGTCCATACCCCAAACAGACTCTTTCATACAGAACTTCTACGACGAGTCGGCGAGGAAGTTATTCCAGCCTCTCAAAGACCTAGAGGGCCGGGAATCAAGTGAGTGGTACTCTTCATTTCCTTACCTTCTTAACTAACACAACGCAGTGGACGATCTATCGATGCAAGAAGTGTCACTATACGCTCACCTCGTTGAGGTTCTGTGCTTCTTTATTCGCCAGCATTCTTTCCGCAGCAAATACTTTATCCTTTCAGAAGGTCTGGCGGTGCGGGTTGCCCAACTCATGGGTTGCCCAGAGAAGCATCTGAAGCTCAGTAAGTCTCCTGTGGAATGCTTCATTCCAATTTACTAATCCTCACTAGCCGCGCTTAAATACTTCCGCACCGTACTTGGCTTCCACGACGAGACGCATAATCGACAGATCATCCAACACGAACTTTTCGAGCCGATCTTGAAAATACTCTTCGATACTATGCCTCGAGATAACCTCCTCAACTCGGCATGTTTGGAGCTGTTCGAATTCATCAGGCGCGAGAATATCAAGATGATCGTCCAGCATCTTGTTGAAACATACAGAGAAAAGCTACAAGACATTACCTACGTCGACACGTTCCAGAACTTGATACTCAAGTACGACCAAAACCATGAACCGGTAACTACCCAAGAGATGGACAATTCCTTCACAAGTGTGGATAGCGATACGCCTGCGCGACATGCTACTGCCATCAACGGTGGAAAGTGGGGACAAGGTCTGAAGGAGGTGGACCCAGACGAAGAGGCTTACTTCAATACGTCAGATGACGAGGACGACCATCTGTCTGGAGCTGGAAAACTTGCCATGAACGGCGCATCGCCGGTGCGACCTCTCGTCAACTACCCAGATGACGATGCCGATGATGCCGACATGGACGATCTCGCAAGCGACGTGGCCGCCTCTGCTCACAAGATTCCAATAACTCAAACGCCAGAAGAAGGTACATCACCAAGTTCGACATCCGCGGGATCGCCACCAGAGCGGATATCGGAGAAGCGCCGGCGAGAGGAGGACGAAGAAGACGAGCTTCTCGCAAGCATCTCCACCTCTGCTGGACCCAAGCGACGCGCTTCGACGTCTAGTAACGCTAGTTCTGGGAGTTTGCGGAGTTTGCGTAGGAAGTCGCCTAACGTGAACTCCGGCAAGGACAGTGGTGGTACGCCAAAGAAGATTTCATTGTCAATACCACTTAAGAGTAGTGGTGAGGGTGGCGAAAGCGAATAGTATCGTATGTCTCCTCCGCGACAGTGAGCAACAATCGAGCATGTGGAGGAAACCCGTATTTCTGCTGCACAGCAAGCCTTAAAAGAACTCAAAAGATACCCATTGGAAACTCGGCAAGCAAGAACGACGTTGTATGAAAGGGGTTGTACGGGATTTTGCTTCTTCATGCAAATGATTTCAACCGGGTAGCGGCATTGCAAAGGTGTAATTATTGGCGTTCAGTGTCTTGACCATTTTCGGCGAGTGGCAGGGTTTCGGACTGGGCATGATGGGATGATGCAGCGCTGCGTGTCGTACTGTCAGCGTGTGTCTTTGGTGTTGGATTTTCGTGTGCATGAACAAGGGCAATCAGCCTGTGTATTATACCTCGAGTCTGTGTACGGGAATGTGAACTCGTGCGAAAGTCACCGGTTCCTGCTGAACGTGACTTGACAGAGACTGCTAAAGAAATGTGAGGATGTTTTGAACTAGGTCTAGCAACGTGGTATGCTCTAGCGGAGATGTTCAGCCCATAGGGCTGGATCACGTTCTCTCGCGTTGTCACTAGCGTGATTGTGGCCCCGCATGCAACTAATGCAACATCCCACGTCAGGCATTCATACAGCTTACATCTCGATTTCACGATCAAGCTTTCGGTGGCCCAGATTTGATCGGCGGTAAAACGCACTACGCTATGTCTGACGATTTCCCTTCTACCAAGCCAATCAGCACGACATCGAAGGAAAACTCAGCTACCCGCGATACAAACGTCTCTGCCATGCCACCAAAACCTCCAACCCTTACTCTTATCCTCGCAGCCACACCGAATCTTGGCATAGGCAACAGTGGAGGCCTGCCATGGCCACAGCTCAAGAAGGAGATGGGGTTTTTCGCACGAGTGACCAAGCGCACGTCGCCTTCTACATCAACAGAAGGCGTCAAGAAAGTGAACGCTGTACTCATGGGCCGCAAGACTTGGGAGAGCATACCACCTAAGTTCCGTCCCCTGAAGGACCGGTTGAATATTGTCATCACCTCAAACCCTAAAGAGTTTGTGAGTAAACTAGACAAGAAGAGCGATGTGGAAGGGCCAATGGTATGCTCTAGCGTATTGGACGCATTGTCGCAGCTTGAAATTCAGCAAGAGAACAAGTTGCCAAGCTCGAATGTCGAGTTGGACAGAGTCTTTGTCATCGGTGGAGCAACTATATACAACACGGCGCTGGAGCTTCCACAAACGAAGCGAGTGCTTCTCACAAAGATTCACAAAGAGTTTGAGTGCGACACTTTCTTTCCGATCAACCTGGACGAGACAACGATATGGAGGAATAGTAGCAGAGAGGAGGTGCAGAACTTTACTGGCGAAGAGATCCAAGAAGGTGGAATTGAGGAACAGGGTGTCAGATTTGAGTTCTGCATGTACGAGCGGGAGTGAAATTAGTCGAAGTGAAAGCGCGGTAGATTGCCTGCAGCAAGCCGAACGATTGACAGCTTCACGTGTTTGCGTTCGAGGCGAGGAAAGTGCAACACTATCAAGCAGACAAGCGCACTCACCTCAACCACGCTAAGTGGCACAGATAAAATATTGATCGTGTCGTTGACACTCTACTCATTTAATTTCCTTCTATCCTCAACTGATATTACTCACAACCAATATGTCGCAGCAAGAAACACCGGTGCAGTCTGTATGGCTTACGTTGTGGCAGGGAAGCACGTATTTGTCTCCAATATGGCAGGCACAACATCAGCTGACTTACACCTTTAGATCCCCTTCTCTATTTAGCCATGAATTTTTCGATGACAGTCAACGCCGTTCTCGTCACATTGCTTATTGTCGCTGTCTTCTCTCAACTTTATGACGCGCTCTGTCTATGTCTAGCTCGTTACACTCTCCAAACCTACGGGTACATCCTCGTCGACGATAGACTTGAAACCCCAGAGTCAACTCCAAGACTACTCCCATTACTAGCTCGTAGTAGCTGTAGTCGTCGCTCTATGATTTCGGCGAAACCAGTGTTCAATAGCCAATTCTTTGTCGGCGTACAGTACACCATCAGCCTAGTTGTTGTTCAGATAGCGCGGGTTATAGCATCTACCTTTGTAACCGACCGCGCTGTTCGCAGGCAATGCATGCGTCTGCTAGAGAAGGGCTTGGAGTGCTCTGCTGCAACACGCCATCACGAGTGGCTTAACATCCTAGCTGCTATTGGTCTCTTGTGCTTCATCCGAGGGTTTCAACTGCACGTTGACCTTACCAACCGCCAGTTGCAGAACGGCAATTACAGCCCAGGTTTCCTTTCTCTTTACAAAAAATGGCGACAGATAACCCAAAGACTGCTTGCAGCGCCCATCGCTGTAATTGTCCTTCACTCGCGTGTCCCGAGTGATGAGTTATGGAAGCACGCCAGGCTGCTACTTATCCAGGTCGCTGCGTCAACCGGCCTCTTCCTAGCTGGCAATCTTTTGTGTCTACTTGCTGCGTTCCCCGTAAGTATACTCATTCCTCGACGGGCACGGTTCAAAATGGCTGACGAAATATAGGACGTACAGGGCACTATACGTGCATTAGAGGTATCGGGGCTTACTGGAAAGACAGAAGTGTGAGTGTGAGTTTTCGGGAAGGGAGCCCATGTATATGAATGGTAAAAGCATGGCTAGCAGCATGTTTTTCCAGAGAGCAGACATGAGCTCGGACTATGCAAGACTTTGGGGTACTGGGATAATACAGGATATTTGAGATCCTTATAAGGAGAGTTTGTTTCGAAGGAAAGACTGCAGCTCACGTTCAGATCATCACCAATGAAGCGTAGATGGTACCTTTTCACAAGTTGCATTTAAATGTGTGTCGCCACGCCATCAAGCTGTAAGGTATCTCCAGTTCACATCTTCGTACCCACACATGTAACCTGCTTAACCCATGACAAGGTCAAAAGCCGCCTTGCCACTCATAAGCAGGAGTACATAATGCGCGATTATTCCAAGCGCGCCATAGTACCTTCCCTTTCCACCATCCTCCCCACTCCTTGAGTATCCAATCGCATAAATTACGCGGTTTACACTCCATACCGCACCCAACACGGCCGCAGCGACAGGGTACCTCAGTCCGGAGATGAGCATGGCGCCGAGGGCTATGACGTGGTTCTCATTGAAGTTTTGGTGCGCGCGTTGGGCCGAGTTGAAGGCGAGCATAGCGGACCTGGATGGGGGAGAGGCGGTCTGAACTTGTTCGTAGGATGCGTATTCGTAGGGGTACGGAATCTTGGCTGCTTTGCGGAAGCCGCCAACACGGCCGCCGTGCCAGGCACCGACGAAGAATGTGGAAACGCAGGCGGCGAGGACGTAGCTGTGGAGCATAAATTAGTCGGTGGTCTCTTAATTGGTTTGGTGAGGAGGCTGGTTCTGAAAGGGAGACTATTGAGAGGTGTATGGGGGCTTCTGCCATTGTCATTGCCATCGCAGTCGAGACTGAACGTACCCGTACTCGCTGGGGATTTGGAGAATCGCCATTTCGTCGTTTGTGTAGTGATCAATTGAGGGAGTTCGTGTTGTTTCTTCGTGTACAATTGCTCGAGTATCTCCGTAGAATGGCCGTCTGTCTGCCTTTTATACCTCTCCTAAATTGTCTGTCGTGTTATTCCTGGCGCTGTGTTCTCTATAGTCAGGTCTACGCAATGTGTCTCCAATTGTTTGCGACGCGGACGAGTTTCAGCGGAAGGTCACGAGGGAGATCCGCAATCGGCGCATCTTCTCGCCGACGGGGTACAGTAGGTGCTACGCGACGGCATAGCTGCTTTGCTGGGTCGCACAGCCAACATTGTGTTGAGCCTGAGGTGGCCTAAAGATATAATACGCTCACCCATGGACGAAGATGTACGGAGTTGTCGCTTGAGTGAGCTGAGGTGCTGACTTGTTGGGTGAGCGAGCATGCAAGGCTGATCAGCGAGCATGACCCTTTCTACCGATGAGCTGGTGCCCACCGCTCGAATGTAGGGAAACAATCACCTGCGAAACTTGTCATATGGCAGTACAAAGGGCTCTAAAATGGGCAAAATATAATGAACGGATACGTGGGGAGCGAGGTGGTTTTGTAGCATAGGGCTTACATTACTAAGATGCTCAGCTGGCCATTCCGCCATTTCGCTCCGGCATTGCGAAGATGAGTTGATTAGTATTGTCGCAAGGAAACCTAGTGGCGGATATCTAGGATGCTGATCACTAATTGTATTTTTCTCGCTCAATCAATGGCATTGCAAAAGCATTGTTGCAATTGCGTCTGGGAGCTCTGGGAGCGAGACGACGCCGTCGATACACCCTTTGATAAAGTTAAAACTTGGGCATGGATCAATGTACGTCTCACTTGTAATTATTACAAAAACATAACGTGATCTCGCCACTAAAGCAACAACATGCTGTAGGACACTGGTGAAGGCTTGTGTGAAAGATGACAACAATGTTCAGAACGGGATTTGTTCGATTCGATTTGCAGTTCCTAGGCTAATTCATTGCAAAAAGCTCTCAGCCAAGCTACCTAGGTATCCTTCTGCCAAAGCCATGAGCCTTGGCATTTACGCATTTCGCAGTACTCTCAATCATCTTTCGCTCGATACAAAAGAGATGAGAAGTGTTCCGGATTATAATGGCTTTTCCTAGCTTGGTGTTTGTTTCCTACTTCCACACTCTTGTAGAGAAGAGTCTTCAACGTCCATAAATTCGCGAGTTCCTTATGGATGAGACACATCTTTTTCTCATGCTGTTAGCTGTGCGACAACTCACTCGTATTTTGAACATTACATAAGTGAGGAAGTAGAAGGAGTGCCGCTCCTGTAGCAGTTGACGTGATACAGAAGAGTGTTAAAACTTGTATGGTAGAAAATGTAGACGGGGTGGTATCCTCTGTTGTGCAGTCCGTACTTCCATGCAATGGAAAGCCGCCATCTCCCTCCTGGGATCTGAAGCACTGGCGACGGCGTGGTTGGTAGATTTTGAAACACGGAAACTAGACAAAGGCAATACAGCAGCACAGGGGAACAAGAACAGAAGTTCAAAAATTTGGGTACATAAATTCATCGCTCATTCATTTCTGTGTGCGGTTATCAATTTCATGTACAGTCAACCCATCTCTGCTACTCAACACCCATTCGCAGTCACCGCTTTAACAGCGACGTTCTCGATCCTCTTCTTGTAGACGGCCATCTGGTGTTTCAGCAGATCACCGTATACAACCTTCCTCAGCATCTCGTCGTCCACAGTCACTGCTTCGATATCGTCTTCAACCCTGCTTCCAACGCGCTGCCTAAGTACTACTAGTCGGCCTGCAGGTGATAAAGTGCACGCTGGTATGGGCCACGCTGGAAGCGTTGAAGAGGTAGAGCTGGACGTGTTTGTTTGTAGCGAGGATTTGGAAGGCCTGCTAAGTCGCTGGGCAAAACCATACTTCGATTTTGTCTTAGGTGGGGAAGATTGCGACGGGTCTCGGAGGTTGGGCTTGGACATTGATGTGATGGTTGAAGCTATGTTCGAAACAGCAACGGGTGCTGGACTGGCGTAGAGCTTCAGCAAGCTCTTCAGCACGCTCTTGTCCGCTCGCGGTATAGGATCGCCTTCGTTGATGAATCCGTAGAAGAGACTCTTGCGATGGCGCTTGTCGTCAGGCTTCTTTAGCGGATACAGAGTAACAGGTGGCGCACCGAACGTGACGCAGTGGACACGCTTGAAGAAACTCGTAAGGTAATTAAGCTCAGAATTGATCTTCGTGCTCATCATATGCCCATAAAGCAGTGCGGCGACAGCTCCGCCAGCGGAGTGACCGGTGATGAGCAAACTGCAATTAGAACGTGCAGGGTTTTCTTGAAGCAAAACCTTCAAACGCTCTGCCACGGGCTTGATCATTTTCTTTGCCACGTAAAGGAAGCCAGCGTGGCATAAATTCGAAGGGTCGTCGAGGAACTTTTCTGGGCTGTGAGGCGCCGAGTTGTAGTTGACAGCCCAGTCCATAAAGGTCTGACTTCCGCGAATGGCGAAGACAATGGTGTTCAGTTCTTCCACAGGAATGGACTTGAGTACCATGGCTTTCGTTCCACTGCGCCAATCAGCAGGGATGAAGGTCTCCATTTCAGGGTTCTTCTTCGTGCCTGGAGGCGTGTAGGCTTTCTCCGAGTAGGTTGCTGCTAAGCAAAGTAGGGGATATGTAGGCAGATAGACCTTGAACGGCGGCAAATGAGGTGGTAGTCGGGAATTAGAGTAAAGCCACACCTTCGAAAAGTGATTTGACCCTTTGTCGCTACTAGAGTGAGACTGTACGTCGTGTTGACGCCGGCGTCTGGGTTCGCCGAGTGGTGGACTCGTTCTCTGGGCCTCTTCCTGCTGCTGCTCACTGAACTCCATCATGAGATCCTGTTCTTTGCCGCTGAAGTGATCGTCGTCGATACTGGTGATGACCGAGTCGAATTTTGAGCTGATTATATCGTACAGCGCGGCTCCTTTGCACAAAGTCTGCATGCTCTTGGTAGCGACAGCTGCCGTAGGTCGCTCGATGCAGCTGGCAGTCAGATTCGTCACGCTCTTTCCAGCCGTATCTCGGAGATTCCTGTACGATTTGGCGGCCATCCGATCAAGGCTGTTCCACTGTTGTTCGAATGGACCTTGACCACGGGGCTCATGGGGTGGTGGAGAAGCAAAGCGAATAGTCGATTGACTAGCATAGGGTTGAACGGGTTGCGGCGGTGGAGACCCATATAGATAACCATCTTCTGGGAAAGAACCAGGCATCTGACGATAGACCGCGTGCTGAGGTGGACTTGCAGAATAGCCATAAAGAGGTGGGGTAGGCCTCGTCGCTGTCACACGCTGAGGCGAAGTCGCCTGGACTGGAGGCGCATAATCTTGCAAGTACATATCTGCTACTGAAGGCGATACTCGTGGTTTCCTGGAGGAGGAACGTGGTTTCGAAGTCTTCGCCGATGACGAATGCTTCCTCCTGCTCTTTCTCTCGGTTTCGGTCGCCGCCATGTCGTCTCCCTAGTTCGTGTGTGGATGTGGATCTGGGAAAAATGAAAGAAAATGTGTAGAGTGTCGTAATGGCGGGCAAGCTGTGGGATCTGTTCAACGCGGTAATCGTCGTCGATGTCCTGTCCGCGACGTATGCCAAGGTTCAGTCATAGCCGCTGGGTGCTTTTGCGCTACGCTAACGAGGGTTGCATGATGGGCGTAGATCTTTGATTCTCGGGTTCAAATTGTGTTGCTTTTGTTTGGGAGGTCAAAGACGTTTAGAAAACGAGGGGACACGTCAAAGGCCGAAGGAGTGAAAGGCTCTGAAGTCGGAATGGGCGCGGCCGGCTGTTAAGGGCGGGTCTATGCAGGTAGCAAGAAAGCCGCGGTATAGCCACGCGCTAGGCCCTTTACTGTCTGCTTACACAACGCTAGATGACAAGCATATGTGATTGGACGCCAGTGGCCTTGGCGCGTATTTGAGCGGTGGACAGGTAGCCCTTCGTTGTCGATGCAGGCATACCTCGTGACCTTCTACAAACGTCGCGAAGGCCGAAACAACGAGCCTGTAGCGGTGCCTGCAGGAACAGAGGGCGAGACTTCTATTTGTGGGTTTCCAGCGCACATGCCTCCCCCACCCCGATCAACGGCCAACCTGCCACAACAACGATCGGATGTTATCCTTGCCATCCTCCGGATCTGCGGATTCCCGTGAGATCACCAGAAACACGTCTTACAATTAGAGTTCGAAGTTTCTTTTGATAATGATTACAGAGCTTCTACTTGTACATGTGCAATGAGAACTACAGCTTCTGCACGCGACTATCTGTCGTGCGCACCAATGAAGTCATCCTGTTCCTCCTCTGGTGTACCGAGTAATCCCCTCTCTTCGCTCTCTTCGTCATCACCGCCTTCTTCTCTAAGTCCCCCTCTCCCGACACCAATGCCTGCACCGCCTTCTTCGCGCTCTTCTTCAATGCCGTTCATGACGTACCAAACGTCTTTCTTGGTGAGCAAGCCTTTCAACATACCTCGATCGGTAAACAAAACATAGCGGAGACCAAGCTTTTGAAACATGGACACAGTGAGCTGGAAACTAGCTTTGGCGTTGAGGGTAATCGGTGTCTGGTCCATCCAGGGTCGGAGATCGAGTGATGTCGTGGGATCCGAGAGGGGTTGATGAGAGAAATAAGCTTCTGTTTCGGCAGCCAAGCTTCGTGGAGGCGTCAAAGCGAGTTGAAGTGCGTACTGCAATTCAGTTCTGGAAATGTAACCAAGTAGAAGAGCATCGCGACTGTTGTCTATAACGGGAAAGCCACGGAATCTATGTTGAGATAGAAGTTGGCGCAGTGAACCAATGGTATGACCGGTTGCTGTGATTGCAGTCAAGTCCTCGATGCGTGTCATAACATGGCTTGCCCCGACATCAGGAATGCTAGAACCATTGTCTTCTCGATTGTCAAGGAAAGGGTAGCCCTTGAAGTGTATCCAAGACTCGTAGATACCACGGGGAGAGATTGCGTCGCCAATCCACTTACTGATCATGACTGCGATCATGATAGGCAGAACGTAAGTGAGCGCTCCGGTAAGTTCAAACATGATAACCACGATCGATACAGTCATTCGTGTCGTCCCGGCAAGCGCTGATGCGGCACCAACAATAGCGTACGTGCCTGGGGTTACACAGGGTACGTCCGGTTCGCAGGATTTGAAGACAAAAAGGGCTGGCCACGCCGCCTGGACCACTTCGACTGAAAGCCCTACAGCACGTCCAAAAAGACCACCGATAGCCATAGATGGGAGGATAATACCGGCAGGAATCTGCAGTCCGAATGTGAAGCCCGAGAGTATAATGCCAAGTCCAGAGGAGATCAGCAAGAGCGCGATGACTCCTGTATTCGCTTTGCCAGATTTGCATAGACCGAGTGTGTCCTCATTGATGTCTGCGCATTCGGCAAACAAGATATGCACAAGCTCAGACGCCTGAGCGCGCATAAACTTGATGGGAAAGCTGATAAGCGCTGTGATAAGCGATACAATGACCACTTCCGTCACTGGCCCTTTGAGATATTGTCGGTTCTTGCGCCATTCAGCAACGCCCATATTGAGCTTGATGAAGAAGCCTCCGAATAGTCCACCTAAGATTCCGAGAAATGCGAAAGGTAGCAGCTCAAAGTCATGCCACCCGCTATGGTACGTGACTTGGTACAAGACGAGTTTCCCGGTGTGGAACGGGTTACAGGCCTGTAGCGTGACAGCGGCAACCATCGCGCATACGAAACTGCTCCACATGGTTTTGTCCGGAAAGTAGTACGACAGTTGTTCGAGACTGAACAACACGCCACCAATAGGCGCACCGAAAGCGACTGAGATACCTGCTGCAGCCGCGGCCGAGAACACCTCTCGTTTCCTTGCTGTTCTGATGTTAGTGTATTTGGGAAAACAGCGGGGTAACAAGCCTGACCTTCATTGCCATTTACGTTACCAAATAGCTTCATGAATAGGTTTGCCGAGCAGCATGCGACGTGTACCAATGGACCCTCTTTGCCCAGCCACAGACCAGAAGCGACTGCGAAGCACAATCCGATCGTCTTCGTGACCAAAGTCCATCCGCCTAAAAAGTGCCGAATGACAAAACCGCCCAGGACAGTCTTGATCTCAGGTATACCACTGTGCTTCGCATAGGGCGAAAACTCTCGCACCAGGAGGCTAGCGCATGCTGCGAAGAGCACTGAAAAGAGCACAAAGAATATGTACTCGACAACATATCTTCCACCGACGCTGTCAATTCCCATGGCAGCACCCCAAGAGTTCCAGTCATGGCAAGCCTGCTCTTCCTCGATTCCCCAACAACAGAAGCTCTTATTCAGGTAGAACCGCCCGTCTCCATCAAAATTGTGACAGTAACCCGTCTTGAGATCTGCAAGCCAATTACTGGCCACGTCGATAAAGGCTGCAATACCTCCGCTCAGTATGCCGGCAGCAACCAGAATGATCCAGACCTGGCTTGCATCCGCCAACTGTTTGATATGGCCAAGCACACCGCTAGAACCAGTGTATAGATAGCGCAGTCGTTGTCGTTCCTTTGCGTATTCGAAAATCCAATCAATTGCGGTGAGGTCGTCGTATCCAACTCTCCGCCCGGGGCCTTCGATGTACCAGTCTAGTCCATTCGCGTCTTTGGTGTCTTGGAGATGTTCGCCCGCATTGCCAGGTGTATCGAGATAGTTGAGTATAAGCTCCGTTGAGCCATTCGGGCGGTGCGATCGTGGCTGGGGCGAGGTGCGATTGCTGGATGAACCGAGGGAGGAGGGGAGGTATCGCGAGAAGCCGAAGGAGGACGTGGATGCCTTGGCTCTGCGCTTGAAGGAGAGTCTGGAGACGCATCTTAATATAGAGCACATCAAAAACGTGCTGCATCTGCTTACTGTTCAGGTAGATCGCGCTCTAGCGGATCATCCGCCAGCAGTTCCTCTTCATCGCTGTGGTCGTCCTCAACAACTGGCTGCTTCCCGTTCAATGTGCGGCTCGATGATGCTTCAGCCTGTCCGCGGGAGGACGGATTTGACGACGAGCTGGACATGCCCTCGACATATACTCCAATGAAAGCTGGGGCGCATTTCTCAAGCAATCATTACGTAAAGCGAAGAGATGTTCTGTTGTAGCGATGGATCGTGAGGCGTGGTTGACGTTCGATAACACAGGTGTGACGAATAAGGTTGGTCTGTGCATTCCCAGGGACAATCCATCACATGCAAACTACAGCCATCATCACAATTCAAACGCTATGCCAACCTCGCCGTACAAACTTCTGGAAATTTTGATTTCACCATTTTTCACAGAGAAACCCCGCCATATACCTACTCCATGTTAAAATCGACAACTGCTCGTCCAGCAATCTCCCCACGCTTCAGCTTCTGCACAGCCTCGTTGAACTTGCTCAACGGATACACCGTGTAAATCGGCTTCAGCAATCCCCGCTTAGCAAAGTCAAGCGTCTTGTCCACGTCCGCCATGCTGCTCACAAGTGTACCCTGTACACTCTGTTTCCTGAAGCACATTTGGTTCGGGTCGACATCAATGTGCTGAGTCCCAGCCGGCGGCAGTCCGATGCACATCACCTTTCCACCAACGCGGCCACCGAGGTATGATATCGAGTTTGGGTAAGTCTGAACAGCAGTGACGAAGACACCGTGGGCGCCGATACCATCGCACAACCGTACTACCTCCTCGCCTACGTTTTCTACTTTCTTAAAGTCGATAAAGTGCTCAGCGCCTCCAGTTTCCATGCAGAGCTTTTGCTTATCGTCGCCAGTGTCAATGGCTATGGCGCGTAGACCCATGGCTTTCGCCAGTTGCACGCCTTGTAGGCCAACACCGCCCCCTGCGCCGGGGAAGACGGCCCAGTCTCCGGGTCGGAGTTGTGACTCCTTGATTGATGTGTAGATTGTTGAAGCAGAACACATGATCGGCCCTGCTATGTAGTCGTTCACACCATCCGGGACGAGGGTTGTGTAGCGTTCGGGTGAGACGATGTACTGCTTGTATGAACCATCAATCATTAATCCGGTCAAGACTGCCTTTGCACAGTAGCATTCGTTACCGTTGCGGCAAAGCTCACACGAGCCGCAAGTATCTTGAATTGGCTGAAAGAGTCAGTTTTCGGCTCTCTCGGATGCTCGCGCTCTCGCTTCCTTTCCACGCAGAATCACGTGGACGGCGAGTTTGCTCACCTTGTATCCAGCTCGCATTCCCGGCTTCAGGTTCTTGACCTGATCCCCAACCTTGACAATAACACCGCTACCTTCGTGTCCGGCACATTTTGTACCGAGGTCTGACATTTTCGGTAGTGCCCAGTCGTTGAGCATGAAGTGAAGATCGCTGTGGCAGATACCGGTCGCGTTGAGCTTGATGAGTACGTCCGTTGGACCTGTCATTGCTGTCAGGGCTTTACAAACATTCTGTTTAGTCTTCCAGTACGTACCGCATTCAGGCACTGGAACATCCTGAACCTCGACGCGGAAGTCCGGGCCTTCATTGACTACAACACCAGCTTTACATGTTTTCGGGATATCAAAAGTTTGGACCTTGTCTTCTGCCATGTTGTTGGATATGTGTATGTATGAATCGGTTGTATCGGCAAGGTTATACAATTACGCTTGGAATTAGTAGTAGAGGTAAGTAGACTGGGAGAGTCAAACAACCGGATGCACAACAGTAGATGAACCCCTCAACTTCATCTTACCCCTCAACCCAAGATACCCACAATCACTGTTTGCACAGTAAGGTTCTCCAATAGCGAAGTAGAACTGCATCCATCGTGACATACAAACCAATGGCGCGACGATGTGACAACCTCGGTCTTGGAATATATCCACAATCATCCAATAAAAGGTTGATCGTCACGAACGCGATTCAGTAGCTTCGAATCGTTCTTTCATCCTTACAAGTGTAAAAGCGGGAGGTTTCCGCAGCGAGGGGCTGATGAAGGAGCGAAGTGGGTGGCTGTTTGTAGCCGTCAAGGCGCTTGGCTTTCCCCATATATGAAGCGCGAGCGTTGCGGGGTGATGTACGTGGGGTTCCCAGGATAGGGTGGCGTGAGACGGCCAGCTTCAAACTTCAGATAAACAAAGATCTCAACTAAGACTGCAATAACACCGTCGTGCATCTCATAGCGTATCATCTTGCAGTTGGTCACCGCTAAGTAAATAATGAGGAAACACCTTGCGAAGTTCCTAGGCTAACGGCGTAGACGTGTATTGTCGCGGTGATTCTCTTGCCACGATGAGCACTCCAAGTCGTGTAGAAGCCGATCTCATGAGTGGCTGAGAAAATTTGATTCAGACATTGTACTGCGAGTTGTTCTGAGATCAATGATGGTTGATAGATTATAATTCCGTATACTTCTATTTGCCGTCAAGTCATGGATGATGGCATACCCGGTCGATCACACGTGTAGGCGCGTCTAGCAGTTTCCATGCATTACGCGATCTAGTATGGTCTGGCTACTCTGGCAGTGTTGGCGATGCGTTTGCTCTGGATGGACGGCTTACTCAAAGTCGGTGTCTGGCCTTGTCCAGCGCATCAAGCCGCCGATTTCCGCCATAGCTTCTCGTTGCCTCGGTGCTACTCATTGTCACGTGAATTCGCGTCGACCAATCACAAGGCGAATATTACAGTGATGATGTGCGGTTCCGAAAGCGGGGTCTAAGAGGTCCACATGCCACTCGCGCACGTCATGGCATTGCGTGTGGCGGCGACAAGAATCGTGGCTTTTGGGAAGAGCGTATGGGAGATAGGGACAATTTACACGAATGGAATACTGTGCCACTGTCAGCACGTCGGATTAGCATAGAGTTCTTGGTCAAAGTCGCAATCGTGGGATGGAGCCTCTCGTGATGCTAGGCAGGATGGAGCTAAGAGATGCGGAGCCACTGGCGGACTGCCCAGGTGCGGGAGGGGCAAGCCAGTATGGTGCTGGCCAGAATGGTCGTGCTTATGAATGCCCCGCTACTTATATACCCAGATGCTGTCCCGATAGCGAGCTCTGCAGTTTGTTTTCTTCAAACATCCTCTTCTACAACACACTACCAAACGATTCATCATGTCTCAAGGCGAGTGTCCCGTGAAGAAGACGCCCAACGTCGCCGGCGCTGGTACCAGGAACGCCGACTGGTGGCCAAACGAGCTCAGGGTCAACATCCTGCGCCAACATGACCCCAGACAGAACCCCCTCGGCGCTGATTTCAACTATGTCGAGGAGTTCAAGAAGCTCGACTACGATGCATTGAAGAAGGACATCAACGCCCTGATGACCGACTCCCAGGACTGGTGGCCTGCCGACTTTGGTCACTACGGTGGTCTTTTGTACGTTCGAGATCCAATTGGCCTCGACAAGCCAAGCTAACACTCATCATAGCGTCCGTATGGCATGGCACTCTGCTGGTACCTACCGTGTTACCGACGGCCGTGGTGGCGGTGGTGAGGGACAGCAGCGCTTTGCTCCCCTCAACGCATGGCCCGACAACGTCTCCCTCGACAAGGCTCGCCGCCTCCTCTGGCCTATCAAACAAAAGTACGGAAACAAGATCTCGTGGGCCGACTTGATGCTTCTCACTGGCAACGTCGCCCTTGAGTCCATGGGTTGCCCAACCTTCGGTTTCGCTGGTGGCCGCGCCGACACTTTCCAGTCTGACGAGTCCGTCTACTGGGGTGGCGAGACTGAGTGGCTCGGCAGCGACGTCCGCTACGCCGATGGCGCCAAGGGTGTCAAGGGCGAGGGCATTATGGACGGTGACCAGCACAAGGTTGACAAGGACGAGACCCACACATCGCGGAATCTCGAGAAGCCTTTGGCGGCCGCACACATGGGTCTCATCTATGTAAACCCAGAAGGTAAGCACAACCGGTCAAATATCTAGATTCATCAATCTAACATTTTCAGGTCCCGAGGGCGTTCCTGACCCCGTTGCCGCTGCTCACGACATCCGCACAACATTTGGCCGTATGGCCATGAACGACGAAGAGACCGCTGCCCTCATCATTGGTGGTCACTCTTTCGGAAAGACCCACGGGGCTGCTCCTTCGGAGAACACTGGCCCAGACCCCAACTCTGAGGATCTTGCAACACAAGGATTTGGCTGGATGAACAAGCACGGTCGCGGTAACGGACCTGACACCATCACCAGTGGTCTCGAGGTCACCTGGACTGGCACACCCACCAAGTGGAGTAACAAGTACCTTGAGTACCTCTACAAGTACGAGTGGGAGCTCGAGAAGAGCCCTGCTGGTGCCAACCAGTGGGTCGCTAAGACCGATGACAAGATCATCCCCGACGCCTACGACCAGGGCAAGAAGCACAAGCCAAGGATGCTCACCACCGACTTGTCGATGCGCATGGATCCCGCCTACGAGAAGATCACTCGTCGTTGGTTGGACCACCCAGAGGAGCTTCACGACGCCTTTGTTCGCGCATGGTTCAAGCTTCTCCACCGCGACATGGGCCCTCGCTCTAGGTGGCTGGGTCCTGAGATTCCCAAGGAGGTACTCATCTGGGAGGACCCCGTTCCTCAGCCTGAGGGCGAGATCATTGGCGACGCTGAGATCTCCACCTTGAAGAAGCAGATCCTTGACGCTGGCATCGAGCCTGCTAAGCTCATCCGCACTGCTTGGGCTTCGGCAGCTTCTTTCCGTGGCAGCGACAAGCGTGGAGGCGCCAACGGTGCCCGTATCCGCCTCGCTCCTCAGAAGGACTGGGAGGTCAACAACCCCAAGGAGCTTGCTGACGTCCTCAAGGCTCTTGAGGGCATTCAGTCCAAGTTCAACGGTGGCAACAAGAAGGTTTCTCTCGCTGACTTGATTGTCTTGGCCGGTACTGCTGCTGTTGAAAAGGCCGCTGGTGTATCCGTTCCTTTCACACCCGGCCGCACCGACGCCTCGCAGGAGCAGACCGATGTTCAGTCTTTCGAGCACCTTGAGCCCGTCACCGATGGTTTCCGTAACTTCGGCAAGGGTACTGAGCGTGTCCGCACCGAGCAACTTGACGTTGACAAGGCTCATCTCCTCCGCCTCACTGCACCCGAGATGGTCGTTCTTACCGGTGGTATGCGTGCGCTGAACGCCAACTGGGACGGTTCATCCCACGGTATCTTCACCAAGCGTCCCGGTCAACTCACCAACGACTTCTTCGTCAACCTTCTGGACAACAACACCGAGTGGAAGGCAACCGACGCAAGCAAGGAGCTGTACGAGGGCGTTGACCGCAAGTCTGGCCAGAAGAAGTGGACCGCCACTCGCCACGACCTTGTCTTTGGTGCGCACCCCGAACTCCGCTCTATCGCAGAGACCTATGCGTCGCCCGACAACGCGGACAAGTTCGTCAAGGAGTTTGTTGCCGGCTGGGAGAAGATTATGAACAACGACCGATACGATATCAAGAACAAGTCGGTGAGTGCACAACCGAGTGGAGCAAACCGGCCGCGTCTGTAAGAAAATGCAGCGCCAGTCGCGTTTCGTTTCCCTATTTCTGCGTGTGCTATTTTCTGAGTGTGTAGCATGGTGGTTGCCGTTGTGTTACACTCACTGACGATTGCTTCAATAGACTTGAGTCTTGTCGCTGTTTTACATGAAGAAACCTTTGCTATGAAGATATGAGATACCTAGGTAGTACCACTGTGTAGGAATATACAGAAGAAATGAGACCATGATATAAGTCATACTTGGTTGCTTCTGTCTCATTGTGATGACTGCTCAAGCTATCTGTCATGTCTGATTATACGCTTGTGATGTCTCACATTGTTGTTGAATTGGACCGCTGAGAGATGGAAAAGATTTCGCAAGTTTCGTGATGCTAGTCCTCGCCACCCATGTATCGTAGTTACTGTCCAGCCAGTATCATGTTCAATCTAGAATAATGTATGTGCAGCACAAAAACACGTTTTCCATTTCTTGTTGTAAGATAGGATTGTTGGAGCTTGAGCAAGAGGAGAGTGAATGCTATATGAAACGCCAGTGCGCTAGAGCGCATGCTTATGTATCGTGAAACCCAGGTCATTAATCTCGTTACGCGTATGCAGTGCAATGCATGGCAGTTCCCGCGTCGCTATGCTCACTTCGTGCCCATTATATCGTACAGTGTGGTGCAATGCCAACTTCAACCTCATACCAATCTTGATCATTTTGTGTCCCACTTTGTGCTTATCTTCTTATCTCGATGCTTTTGCAGCGTAATAGTAGGTTGCAGCGGTTGTACCAAGAACGAGAGCGGAAGCACTGTAATATCATGTTAGCGATAGTTTCCCTCAGTTCAGTTACTATATGGCGAAGAACGAGTGGAGGAAGAGTGCCACAAGGCACATACTCAAGGATTTCAGGAGAAAGGAAATAGTGTTTGCTCACCTGGCTCGTTTCCGATCGCCAAAACAAGCAGCAAACATAGCTCGGAACACATGTTGGAGGAAGTTGTCTCTGCGATAATCTGATCGCTGTGCGAGTGCAGGCTTCGCTGCCTCGACGATCTTGTCCGTGATGCTGAAATCATCTGCAGTGCTTTCTGGCATTTCTTCTTCTGTTTGCGAGGATTCCTCCAATACTGCTCTGCGTTGCCGAAGCTCAGAGTCCAGATTAGAGACAGGATGGGCCTCCGAAGTGGTGGTTTTTGGTTCAGATGTGACTAATTCTGTTGCAGATTTTGCCATGTTGACTGGTGCAGAGATGGCATCGAGCAGAGCGCTGTGGGCCCCTGAGATGTCTTTGGCGCCGTCATGCTTAGCAACACTTTCCGCTTCGCTAGACTCCTGGGTATGGGAGCCAGGCTCGTCGATCTTGGTGTCGAATGCATCTCCGAGTTGCTCGTTATCATCTGCTAAAGAGGCTGCATATGGGTCTCGCACGAATCTGGCCGGCGGACTGGACCTACGGGTGGTGTTGTGACTGATGTACACAGGTGATGGCATACTATCCAGATCATGATGGTACCCTTCATCTTCATCACTGTTCTCGTCCTCAGGTACAGATGCCAACGAAGCATATGATTTGACGGGAACAAGATCGATGGAAGAGCAGGCTTGAGACAGGACAGATGGCTGCGGAGAATGTGGGCGTTCATGCATCGATTCATCCTCAGGAAGATGCATACCAATCGTCGCTACACGTGCCAAAATCGATTCTCGGTTGGTTGGGAATCGTTCCAAGGATGGGTCATTAAGGTCTTGGTCCTCCGCGTCTGATTGAGGTAGCCTGTGAGGAAGATTACTCCCCGTTCGTCCTCTGAAGAAGTCGTGTCGATCGGCTGCGCCGAACAACTCTCGCGCATTGTCTGTCTCATAACCAAATGTTGGCTGCTTCTCCAAAGAGAAAGGAGCATCGTCCTGTGAGAAGTCTGAGCCAGTGCTGCTGACGAAGGCTGATTCTCGTTCATGTGGAAGAAGAGGTGTGTCGTCATCCTCAGCGTCACGGTTACCCTCGTCCTCGTCCTCGTTACCATATGCTCCATACTGCTGTGGCTCCCGGTTCTCAGAATTTTCACTCTTAGTGAGGGTCTCGCTTTTCTTATAGTCCGAAAAACCACTTTCGTGTGATAGTAATGGGTATCTGTCCAGCTCATTCCTCTCGTCGTCAGATTCGGTGTCAGCCCCATCGTCCTCGGTAAAGCCGGTTTCGTGAGGAAGAAGAGGGGCGCCGTCAGAATCGTCAACATCGTCCTCGTCATCATTGCCTTCATGAGAAACATGTAGTCCGTCTCTCGCTTCGCTTACGCTACCTCCGAGTTCAGTCTCATGGCTAAGCAAGGGCGCTAGATTTAGCTCGTCACCATCCTCAGGCTCAGGAGGTGTATCCATTGCATCTCCGGAACTGGTCTGGTCCGTTGATGATTGTGTGGATTCATCGTCAACAGTAATCTTTGGAGGTGCCTGTGATTCTTCGTCGTCCGCCTGAAAAGATTCATGACGAAATAATGGAGCAGTTTGGTCGTCTTCAGTATCACCTGGTTCTGTATGAGACTCTGGTGTGATGGTAAGTATGTCTGGTTGCGTGTCTGAGGCCCTCATATCATGTGCAACCTTCTGAGCAGTCGTGGCATCCTCGCCGAAATCATCTCCATATGCGGGCCGATCATCCGTCTTGTCGACAACTAGAAGCGGGATTTCAGGCGATTTGGGTGTTTCTGTCTTGATTGGCGAGTCCACTTTCGTTTCTTCATAGTCGGGCTTTGCGTCGGTCGAGCGCTTAGCAGCATCTACAGGAAGGTCGAGGTGGTGGGTGTTGCCATAGGCTGGCTGCTTTTGGTCCTCAACCTTGTCGACTACCATGGAGGAAACTGGAACACTGGATAGCTGATCACCCATTGTACTGTCTTTTCGATCCTCTGGTATCTTCGACGGGTTTGCGAGAGAAGCCTTCAGCGATTCCTGTTCGGAGGGAGTTTCCTGTACTGCGGGGGCTTCGCGTGCTGATTTCAACGAGTTGTTTTCGCTGGCGACTTTGACATGGATGACATTGTTGCGAATGCCATCGTCGGTGGCAGCTGCGTGAGGTCATTAAAAAAGCCTTTTCATACCTACATGAGCAAACATACCAGTCTCTTTTGACTCGTCCAATACCCAGTGGTCTTCTCCCACGCGGATTTTGTATTGGTAGCTGCCTTCAGCAACGTCATTGAACTCTTTGCGAAAGATCAGGTTGTCCGAGGCGGTTTTGTCTTCATTCACGTCCATCTCAACCGGCGTCCAGTCGTTTATGGAGGTAGTGACATAGACGGGTGGCTGCACACCCGTCTGCGAGAAGGTGATGGTCGCATGGCCGGCCATGGTGTCGTGAGCGGTGATGTTCCGCAGGGGCAGAGGCCCAGAAGGTGGAGGTATGAGAGTGGGGTATACAGGATCGCTCGCGTGCCTGGGAAGCCGCGGCGGTTAATGGGTAGGGTCTACTGGGAGAGGAATATCGTTAGTTGTTGAAGATGGCGGTATGCTAGTAGGCTACAGAGCCCGTACAAGCTGGCGATGAGAGCGTCCGGTCATACAACGGGGGTTGGAGGGGAATAGGTGTAGTACAGAGGGGAGGGAGGGGTTGCGAGTGTCAGTCGAGGATAGCAGCTTACCGCGCGGTGGGGTGATGAGAAGCCGTTAGTTGCTTCCCACGAAAAGAAACGTGCTTGCCTCAAAAGGCAAAAAATCGAGATATCGATCCGAGGTATTGAAGGAAGCGTGGATGCAGCTTCAAGGCAGGAGCGGCTCGATTGTTGAGTTGCGGCTTCCCTGTTCCGTTGGGCGAGATGCGCGCATGTGGAGGGCTTGGGAGCTTGTGGACGTTGAGACCAGTATCGTGGTTGCAGTCACAGTAAACCCCTCTGCGCTGCCTCTAAAGTCTATCGCGCATCTCCGCACCCTTCTGGCAGACCCTGCGTCTTTCCGAGCCTCCATTCTTTTGGCGGGGGGTTGCTATGCTTCAAGAGTGACGTGAATGCAACGTCCAACATTATTCGCGCTATGTCCACAAGCTGGCCCACCACAACGGCCTCATTAGCCACCCGTAACCGAAGACAGCTCTCTCCGCGGCGATCCTCCACCGCATGGCCCGACCTCAAGCACTACGGAAGCAAGCTTCACTCATTTTCTCCCAGCACCAGCAACAACCAGCACCATCATCTTTTAGCTGACGCATCCTGATGTAGCCATCGCGAGCGTCAGTGGCGACTGCATATCGCTCAAGGTGGCGGTGTGGATCTTTAGACACCTTCACATGCGCAAGATAGCAAACGGATTATGCCTGTAGGTACCCGGGTGGTAGTGCTGCTTAAGGAGCTACATCGGATAATTATGTCTTTTCGAACATTGCTGCCATCGCGACCATGATGAACCGTTCTGTTTTGTCTTCGGCCTGTTCCACGCCCGGTGAGCTATGTTCAGTGGCTAGCCCTCTCCTGGGCCACGTGCTTTGACTTCACCTGTCAAGTTTCCATCGCAAACACAAAAATAGCGATCGGCAACGGATGCACTATGATGCAAATCCATAAACTCCCCAGCTCCAGGTTCTGGCACGCGTCCTAATATGCCTAAAGTCGTCTGTCCAACGATCTCCTGAGACACCAAAGAACACGTTTATGCCATCATTGCGATGCTTCACCAGCCACACCGGGATATCCCGTCTAGCTTTGTGCACCACACGGCCAATCGCATTCTATCTCATAAACACTCGAACCATTCGTTCAGGCTGCGGTTCTTGGAACCCGAGGCCATGTCTTCCAACATACTTCCGATACCCAATGTCCCGGGATCGTGGGTCTAAACAAGGTTTCGAGATGCGCGCTGCGACAGGGCGCGCCGCACCATTACCACGCGACAATCCACAATACCGATGCCGAGAAGAGGTATGCACAGGCCGCGTGTCTCTTTGTGCACCGTTTGATATGCTTCTGGAAGGTAATCTCAGTTTCAAGCAGCGCCGCGTCAATCATGCTGAGCAGGAGTCTTGCAACGTCCGATCGCGCTGTCGCACTTTCGGTGTCGTAACTTATCCACGCTGTATTAGATGTGTGCAGGTCCCGTTTGGCACTCTAGTCTGACGATCATCCTCTACTTTCTTTCTTTTTTCCCTCTTCTCCAGTCGGGCGTTTTAGAATCTTTGCGCCATTGTAAGATTAACTCTCGCAGCCTCATGTCAAACCTTCGAACGTTGTATAGCTCAGCCACATACCGAACTCGCAATGGGACACATCGTATATGTCGCGAACGGACGTGACCAAGGGCCGGTAATAAGCCGAGTCAGCATGGCCATGTACACAATGGCAGTGGCAGTTGTGGCTCTTCGGTAAGGACGCAACTTTGTAGTAACCCGGTATCGCATTGCTGATATCTAATAGATGCTTTACTCGCGGATACATAGTCAAGAAATTTGGCTTAGACGACCTCTTTATCGCCATCGCCGTCACACTTGGAGCTGCACAAACAGTTACCATCATATTACAGATCAAACATGGACAAGGACGACACGCATCGGAGCTACATGTTGAGCAGTTCGATGAGATGCTCATGGTACTATCAACTCATAGTGAGATATTCCACTTCATACTGACAGCCGACTAGTACCAATGGATCAATATGTTGATCTATTTTGTGGCGAATTGGTATGCCGCACCATCGCTCTTCTTACACAATATTAGGGCTAACGTAATTGTAGGACTGTTAAGATGAGTATCCTAGCTCTCTACTACCGAATTGGATATGGCAAACAGGGTTTGCCATGGATCGTACAGTCACCCGCCGTATGGACAGTAGCTGCCTTCATGACTGCCTTCAGTTTCTCTGTCTTTCTCGTAAGCACCGTCCTTGCTTGTATAGTGATCATGACTGACATGTTTGAAAGACCCAATTATTCATCTGCACACCAGTATCACGCGTCTGGGACATCGAAGCTCAACCTGATGGATGCATCAATGCCGCCATGTTCATGGTCATCTCGGGTGCCATCAATGTCGTTACAGATATCGTCTTGTTGATCTTCCCTTTGCCGTTGATCTGGGTAATCAAGTTCAACAAGAGACAGAGAAGTAAGTCAACGCACGTGTGGAGTTGTCAAATGCGTAATGCTGATCATGGTTTCAGCGGCTCTAGCAGTCATTCTCTCTATCGGCGTCATCCCAGTTGTAGCCAGTTCCATGCGTCTCTGCGAGATTGTCATGTCTGACAGTCCCATCAGACCAGGAAGTACTTGGCAAGAAGTGGATTTCAGCTGGTACGTCCACTTCCGATGTTTCTCCCGTACTAATGAATCGACTAACATACCAATCACAGGGGCTGGTCGTGGGTTCCAGTATGGTCTCAAATCGAAGTTGACATCGGTATACTTGCCGCGTCTCTTCCCTCCCTCTCTCCTTTACTTAAGCAAGTTTTCAACTGCCCTCACCGAACCGCCACACCATCTGAAGTACCCACCATACCAGGGTACCGGGGGAGTTGGGGGGAGAAGAACTTGGTCAGCATCGACGACGATGACGACCTCGAGAAGGGAACGGGTGGCGCTTTTGACTTTGATGGGGAGAGAAGACTGACGGTTACAGAGAAGGAGATGGGAAAGGCTATGGATATGGGAAACAGTTATTTTGATGATAGCATATCGGACGTGGGGGAGAGGGATTCAGTCTACCCGGAATCGATGGGTAGGCCTAGTATTGGCGTAACAAGGACAGCGGACGTGCGTGTTTTGACTAGAACAGGTGTGCCGAGGATAGTAGAGTATAAGAAATTATGACATTATATCGAGGATCGTGTTTCAAGCCGGGTACTTCTACCAAGTGTGAGAAAGTATTCATTATCGTGTCGTTATCGTTACTCGGTGTTAGTATACTCATGCAGTATTATACAGGGTGTTAGTACAAGCGCCTTGACGCCCAAAATTTAGCAATACCTCACCAACGTCCAAAGCCATCAATCGCGGAGCTAAACTGAGTAGCTAGTTGACTTGTGACTGCACAGTCGCTCGCTTCAGCCTTCTCCATAGCCTGGGGTAGCCATTCCCTAATCTTCTCTTCTCTGTTGTGGTGACTCGGGTGTGTACTCAGTATCTGCGGCGGGCCCGCCCCGCCCGCCTTCTCCATGCGCGTCCAGAACTGCATCGCGGCTTCTGGTCGATAGCAACCTTGCGCCATCATCAAGAGGCCAATGTAATCAGCCTCGGCTTCGTGTTTGCGCGATGCGGGCATGGAGAGGAAGAGATCGAGGAGCATTTTGCCTGAGTAGAAGGACACATCGAACATAGATAGGGCGAGGGCGCCGAGGAGAATCAAAGGGGCTTGGGACATGCGTTCACTATATCCCCGTTAGTACGCCTTCAAGACATTCGAGGAAGAGAAACATGAACACTAACGCGGTATGATGCGCAACGACATGCGCAATCTCATGGCCCAACACCGCCGCAATGCCATCTTCGTCCCTGCACAACGGCAGAATCCCTGTGAAAACAAAGACTTTCCCCCCAGGCGCAACAAAAGCGTTTTGCTCCGGAGACTCGATGACTGTGACTTCCCAGTTCAGATCTTTGAGCCCTTCACCCTCGGCATACGGCAATAACCGCTCCAGAACCCTCTTCACCTGCCGGACTCTCGCATCGCTATCCGATAATATCCTGCCTTGGTATTCTTGTCGGACTTGTTCGACGGATTGCTGCCCCAGCGCTTCTTCGATACCAGGTGAGATGATGTTGAACCGACGGCGACCGGAAACGGGCACTTGTTCGAGGTTGTACAGGTAAACGCCACCGGTGCCTGCGCTGATCAGGCCAACGTCGCGGTAGAAAGTTGGGCGTTGGGCCCAGCGATACAGGAGACCAGATATGCCGCCAGACTGTGCGCTGAAGCGTTTGTACTGGGGGCCATTGCCTCGACCGCCGAAGGGGAGTTGTTGGTAGGCGCGTGTTTGTGAGTGGGTGCGGAAGGATTGGTGTGCATGCTGGGGCAAACGAGGCGCAGGGCGGAAGGCGCTGAGTCGTGGTCGTACTCGATGCATCGTGAAAGCGCTTCAGAGCGATGATGCTGCCTGAGTGGGATTTGGCTGGACATATATCTAGTGAGGAATGACGTACAGCGAAGTCCGCGGGAATGCCAAGATTTTGGTTCGGAGCTGTCTTCTCCTCAACGCTAGCTGCGACCACTCGCGATCTTCCTCAATCATCATCGCTGTTAACTATTTTCGTCATTGTTGACAGTTTGTCTTGGTCTCGCGGACGTATTCCAGCGTCATTCACCAACAAGGCTTGCTCGTTCTTTCCTCAGCTGCACCGCATGGCACGCTTCCACGTCAAGCGCATGATCAAGAATAGTGGCCTACTTCCAGATGCTAAAAGTGAGCTATTCTCGGTAAACGCTCAGATCTTGCGCACGGTGGAGACTTCATAGTGATATAAATGAACCGGAGGTAAGTGAGGACTAACTTGTCGCGTGAATGACGCGCCTCATATATTGTCACAATACTGCTGCTCCTGCAAGATGCGGTTCTCATACATTGTTTCGACACCCAGGATCTTTCCATCCTCTCTCTCGCTATCCATTCCCTTACTTTAAACGTATGCATATTCTACGTGGACTTCCAGGACGCATGAGCCTGGGTTGTATGGGACGGGCGAGGGAAACGGGGATACCATTGCAGGCGAAGTCGAGCAAGGCGTCTCGGTCGCAGAAGACTCAACCATGGTGGGTGTAGCGGTGACTGTGACCATGGAAGATAGGTTAGGAGCAACAGCGGAGGACTGGGTGACGACAGCGCTGGTAGCCGAAGAGACAACGGACGAGCTGGACACGACACACGACGGCAGAGGCGCGACACTGTCAATCTTGGAAACAACCCAGGAAGAAGCGTCGTCGGTGTAGAGCTCAAAGTAATTTAGGTCTAAACGTCGGTGTATGAAATTAGTGTATGTCTCACATGCAGTTCGTACAAGAACACTTACGGTCGGCCACAATATTACCGCCGGCGCAGACTGGGTCACCAGCAGCGCAGTAAGAGCGGAGCACCGGTGCGTAGCGGTTGAGGCGTGCGAGATCCTCTGGTTGGCGTCCGTTGGCTTGCTTGTCGGCACCGTCGAGCACGTTGTAGGGTTGGTTGGCAGTATGCATCACGTCTCCCCAGAGAAGAGCTGCCGCGACTTGTGTATGTCAGCATGGGTAAAGCTACGCCATCGAAGAATCTGCTTACCCGCTTTACCAGCAGCAGAGTTGTTATCCAGACCGGTAGAGACAAAAGTACAACCACCCTATATAGAAATATTGAGTCAGTATGTATCTCCATGCGATTGACCCAAGTGGTAAGAAGCTTACCGGTCCACCAAGCACGTCACCGACGACGTGCGCTCCCTCTGAGTAGCCATTGACCACGATGTGCGAGCAAGGGCATTTCTCATGGAAGGCTGTAATCTGAGAGATACCATTGCGAGCGCCTTCAGCAACTTGGTTGCAGTAGTCACCACCCAGAGTAACGTCAAACTGGATGTCGACGTAATCGCAGCTTTTGCCCTGGGCAGTCAACTTGCCGCAAGTAGCTTCGACAAAGGGGAATGTGCGACCGCCATGGTATGGTGCGTCATTGCCGCGAGCCATGAAGATGACTACATCAGCGCAAGATGCGTCAAGCTTCGGGGGTACAGTCTGGGCTGCCGCGAGTGCAGAGAAGGCGCCTAGAGTCAGGGTATTGCGGATGTTGAACGACATGATTAAGTATTAGGTATGTACAATGATGTATAGTGATCAAAGAGTGTGGAAGTGGAGACCACAGGCGGACTTGATACTTCAAAAAGAGCGTAAGGGTTCGTTGAGGTGTACCTGGGGTAACATGTTGAAGCAAGGGCCGACTGCTTTAATACATCCAGTATATGAGCCCGTTAAATTTGATCGTTCCCCAGAGTATCGAAATGGTTTACTCCACGCTGTTGGACGTGCTAAAGCGAGGGAGGCGTGGTTCCATCCCCTTTGCCCTGCATAAGTGTCCGAACAATCGCTGCGGTTGCTTGCATCCTTGAGCCAGGATGATACCAGAGGATTACTAGAAGAAGAAGTTAGCAAGAAATTCGATTCTTTCGAGTTGGTACTAACGGTAGTTTAGCCACATGTGGGTGTAGCGGCACGAAGGTGCCACCGGGTATTCCGATATCTTTGCTTGGTGCCACCTCCGCCAGGCCGTTCGATTAGCTTGAATCCTGACGCTCGACAGTACGGCAGCATACATCTGCTTATAGAATTCTCTTTGCTCTGCTACCGACGAGTTGTAGTGTCTTGGCTGGTGGATGCTCATTCCAAAACAGCACGCCACAACATCTCGCATTATTCATCGCAAAACGGGAACGTAGATTCGGGAAGGAGGGGTTCGACGATCAGACAGAATGATTGCTACACTGCGAGTCTCTGGTGTCTCCATCTTCAGGTTTTCTTTCCCGAAAACAACAATCTTCTCAACGATGCGGTGGACTACCAGTAGCTGACAGGAAGACCCAAATACCTCTTGACATAGCGCGTAGGTAAGGGCTTGCCCATATCATAATTGTGTACGTATCACTGCAAATAAAACCAATTCTAAGTTTTGCACTCAGCGTGTGCATTAATCACACGTGGAAAGATTAGCCAAGAACTCACGTGAGTTCAGGGTTTCCGCCTCTCGCTGAAAGGCATGTGTTCGATGTAGTCGCATCAGGCACCGAACGAAAGCGATATCGCACCCTATGGCAATAACACGATCTCGCATATTGAAAAGGTCTTGCAATGCCTGAAATTCTCTATTTTGCGCTTCACTACTGACCATGGCAATTATAGTGCTTTCGATACAGAAACTGGTTATGTTACAATCACTCAATCAAGCTATCACTTTACGGCTCCGCACCAAACTCCTCAATATCAAAGTCAAGCCCATCAGCGTCATTCTCCAACGAATCGTCCCACTCCGCCCAAGTGTTTTTTAGCGCAGGATCCTCCACAGCCAGAAGTGGGTAGCACTTCTCCACATCGCCGCCGGTTACAGAGTACTTGACATCCACGCTCTCTAGTACAGCCATACCCGCATCCAGATCCGCGACAACAAAGACTTTGGGTGCCTGTCCGTCCTTGTAGGTACAGAAAGACAACCAGTAGATAGCTTCCGTGGCGTAATCAGCAACAGTGTAGAGACCTTCGAGATCAGCGTCATATTGTGTTCCAGTTCGCTCAGCTTTCCAAGCAAGCATCGCAATGGCAGACGTTCCCAGGACTGGGCTCTGTTCGTCACCAAGACGGAGTCGGGATACACCAGCTGCCTTCATGGCGTCGTCGTGATAGTAGAAGTAGCGGCCCTGGCCATCACCAACTACGGCATCTTCGCTGTAAGCAAAGAGTTCGTCGCAGCCAAGGCCAGTAGACTGGGTAGTCTGCTTGACATACATGTTGCCGTTGGAGCAGTACATGACGTTGTAGTCGCCAGCAATTAGCTTGGTAAATTCGTACCCGTCAGTACGGTCGTACGGAACGGTTTTGACATCCGCAATCGTATAGTTGATATTATCGGTGGCCTTCTTGACGGAGTCGGTGATCTCACGGATTCCAGCTGGGAGGTCGCCAGAAGAAGAGGGTGTGAGCGTTGAGTTGGTTTGTCTAGTGGACAAGGATCGCTTGATGTCCAACTGGACGGGTGCCTCTTCGTTACTTCCTTGGGCATTGCTATCTCCCGTGCTTTGGCCAGTGTTGTCACCGCTATTGGTTTCTCCACTGGATAGCTCTGTTGAGGCGCCTTGTCCTATGGGAAACCCTCCAGTAGGCAGGTTACCAGCAGGTATTTCTTCAGTAGGGAGTTCGGGGGCAGGTGTTTCACCGGTGGGCAATCCTCCGGTGGGTAGTTCCCCGGCACCCTCCCCAGCGGCACCCTCATCGTTACCAGTCTCCCCGTCGCCTCCGCTCTCACCGCCTTTGCCAGCCTCGTCTCCACCAGGTGAGGTTGATGGCTGCTGGGTCTGCTTGCCAAGAGGGATGCACATAGACTTGATGCTCTTGTAACCACTGTCAAGTAACTCAAACTCCTTGACGTCAAGGACGTTGCACACCAACTTGTTCCTCCAGCTGAGATTAGTGTGGATGCCCTGGCATCCTTCAGTGGGAGTAAATCCAGCAGTAATCTTGCCGTCAGCGAGCTCAGCTCTTATAGCAGCTTTTGCGATACCCTTGATCATGGGTTCATTGATGAGAGCGACAGTCTTGCTCCAGCTAGCGACAGTGACCCCGAAGTGCATGCCAATAGGAAGGCCCAACTCAGCGCCGACGTAAAGAGAACCTTCGGCTTCGAAGGTGGGATGACCGACAGGGTCGAAGTTCTGGCGCGTGGACTTGGAAGGGTCAACCATGTCGACCTTTGCGTAAGCACGGTTCCAGTTGAACTCAGCGCCAGCCAAGATGCGACCCTCCGCTCCGGCCTCCAGAGTAGCACGGGCTTCAACGCGAACCTGTGGGCCGATGATGATTGGACCAAAGGATAGCTTGGGCAGACCTTGCTGGAAAAGTGTCTTCTTCCACTCACGGCTGAGCTTGATCTGGGCGTCAACACCGACCTTCATAGCGACTTTGAGATCGGCCCAGGCTTCGATCTCGCCTTGAGTGATGCCCCGGCCAACAGCCCATGTTGCGCGACCAGCAAGCTCGACAGAGCCCTGAGCGCCACAACCAACGCAGTAGATGTTCAGATAGCCATCTCGTTGCACACCTTTATCGGCCTTGATCTTGGACTCAGTACCATAAGCGGCAATAAGAGCAGCAGGACCCCAGGGTGATTCAACCTGCTTGGCGTCTGCTTTGTTACCGTCAGGAAGAGCGAACTTGTATGATTCTTTGATACTACCGCTGACAGTGCCAGTGGTAAGGAGTTGAACGCCACCTTGAAGCACAGTCTTGCCAAGACTTATCGTGCTCTTCACAGGAGCGACAACGTTTTTGTTCCACCAATCTCCGAGACGGCCTCTGCGTTCCATATGTCGACGATACATTAGGGCCCTGCGGGATAGACCGGCGATGTCATCGGAGCTCAACCCGGCAGTGGCTTCCTTCAGAAACGCTTTATCCTCGGTGGACAATTCGCCATAGCCCTTAAACTCGTCAAGGTCCAAGTCGAAGTATTGGCCGGTGCATGTAGTGGGAAGACCGTACTTGGTGTCGACAGGAGCCTTACAGTCAGAAATGATGTCCTGATTGAACTTGTTGTTGCCATCCTCAGTTGAGTTGGTCAATGAAGTGCCTGAAGGTGTTGGTGCAGATGTGGGTGCAGAAGTCCAGGACTCTAATTCCGACGATGAAGAAAGAAAAGCACTGGATCCAAAAGGTGTGGGCGATGGATGTGCTGAGCTAAGCGGGTCGCTAGAAGTTCCCGCAAACGACGGGCTTGAAGATACAAGCTCAGAGGCAGACTCAGTAGGCTGCGTAGGATCTTGCGACATAACTCGAGTTGAAGTGAGCGAGCTGATGTAGGAGCTGTACGAAGATCCAGTACTAGGCGATGGAAAGACATCTGAGAACGCGCTTCCAGTCGACACACCAGAGCTTGCGTGGGTAGTAGAAAGCCCGTAGTACGATGACGTAGAAGAAGGGAAACCGGAATAAGATGCGGTGCTGTTTGGCTGCTTATTACTCCCATTCTTCTCAGGCTTGTATCGCCCCCAATGGGCCTCACCACCTTCTGTGCACTCGTCTCGCGCTTGAGGATAACCCTTCACAATGATGGATTTGCCGTCGTCGGACTTGACAGTTTCCTCTACCTTGAAGTAGCACTGATCATCGTCCGATCGAACTCTGCAACCGGCTGTGCTTGAGACGATGATGGTACCTTTGGGCCACGACTCTTTGGCGAAGTCACATGCCAAGGCAGAAGTGAAGTCGACAGCGAGCTGATTGCCAGAGTATTGCGCATTTTGGACATAGTCCGAGTGCTCCAGCACAACAGCAGGAGCCTTGAAAAGCAGATCGATTACACCAAAGTAAAACTCATTGGTGGGCTCTACAGCTTAGTGTTAATAGCCGGCATATATGAATCAGATGCAAGTACTTACTCGCATTGTCGCGGCCACCTTCAGCGTAGTAAAGCTGAGTCTTGTCCTTTGGTACAAGATTCTTGGGGTCTTTTGTGTTCTGGCTCCAGTGGCTACACGGTTGAAGCTTGACATCCTGTCCGGAGTTGTATTTGAAGTACTCCTCGTTCTGACCAAAGGGCTTCGCGATCTTGCTAGTGGGGCGAGCTCCGTAGTGTGAGGACGCACTAATCATAGTGGGAGTAGTTGGTTCGGGTCCAGCAGGAGTGCTGGTAAGACTAGTATGTTCGAAATAGTAGTCGTCCCCATGCAAAGCAGATGGAGTGGCTTGTGCACCATTTTCCTGGCCACTGTGGGCAGTCTCATAGACTGTGTAAGTCTTGACTTCGCAGACTTTGGACGGAACCTTGGACGCACGACTCAACGGGTTGCTGGATGGCTGGTTCGGGGAGACACTGTGGCCATTGTCAGTGGTCTTTCACCTTGGAGAAAGAACCTCACCACTTACGATGATACGGCCGCATATGCGGACGCAATGCTGGCAAGACCCAGCGTAGTAACAATGAAACGCATTGTTAGTATTAGTATTAGGATTAGCACAAATATTGTAAGAGAGTAAAGAGAGTAGAAAGTGATAGCAGCAAGGCAGCTGCAAGTTGGACGGTGTCAAACACACCAAAGGGAACAAGCCTGATAGTAAAGAATGCTGTAAGAGAAAGATGGATATTGAAGCATAAAGACGCGCGACAGGTCTTTAGTACTGCTGCCTCTGAATTTCTTAAATTACATACAGGAGATTTCGAGTCTGCGCTAGATCGCGCGTTCCTGGATTCAATAAGAGGCGCCATCAAGGCGAGCTGAGAGCTGGTCATGACGAGAAGTAGAGCATGCAGTGTAGTTTGGTGGCTGTCCGCGCGAAGTCCATTTAGGCATCGGTTTACGGGAACCTCAACCAGACGAACATGTAAGAGCTTCGCGTATTCGAGGTCGATACTAAAATTCTGGAAGTGTTCGATCGGTCTTTGTCGTCTCCCGGCTCTCTTGCTCTGCGCATCAGCTTTTGCATGCTCCCCAGAGTTACCAGCAAGAGCGAGCTGTCCATCGTCAGTCTCGTAAGACCTCAAGCACAAGACACTTCAACCAGATCCATCAGCGGCGCCCAGTTAGCCCAATGCCCAGTGTTTGCGAACCGAATTGGCACTCTGCGACCCCTGCATCACGCGATTCGAGCAAGCGTCGTGACGATGGCTTGATGGGGCTGACAGAAGTTTGGAGGGTTTACGCCCTCAACTGCTAACGGCGCTGCCGAGACACACGTGGAAGCTCCGACCCCGGGTCGAGGCCCGCTTGGCAACCCGCCCCTGTCTCGATTGCCCCTGCATTGAGGGAAACGAAGAGGCTACCTATTCTTCTCAGACTATGAAATTTGTGGTAGCAGCTAAGGTAGGTAAAGTCTGGACTTCTTGGCTGATATCTCAGTATGCACCAGTACGGGATTGCGAGACTAGCGCACGTGATTGACCCGGCGAGGCCGCAAGGCGATTCAATCGTCTACAACAGTCAGCTGCGACCCTCAAGCCATTGCCGCAATTCTTCCTCGTCGCAAGTAAACATGGTTGGCGAGTCAAGTTCGAGCCTCGATTTAGAGATGATGTCCTGCTAGGCTGAGTATACCGTCGAAAATATTACAGGTCGTTCACTCGATCTCGTGGAACTCATTGCTAGGATTATATATGACACGTCAACCAAATTCTTTCACATACGACCATAGGACACTGAAAATTAGGCTTCCCGTCCGCTCAGCCATATACAAGCAGTGTACCGGCGGATTAGTAGTTAGGTGGGTGACCACTAGCGAATCCCCGCTGTTGTATGTTTTTATTTTTGCTAGGGTGTAGAGCGTACAGATCCTTACCTATGCATCAGTTTTTTGCTCCCTTGGGGTAGACCGCCGAGGCACGCGTAGGCAGGGTGCTGGGTCTTGCTCACCATGTGTTCCTGGAGTAAGACTGCAAATGCTAAATCAGATAGGGCATTCTTGACTATGCGGTTCGTGTGTCTTTTCTACCTGTATTGCTTCAAGCACGTTGAAATGGCAGAGCGTGTCGCATCCGACGTACTTGCTCGGCCCGTCGGCAATAAACCGTCGGCAATAACCGCCGCGGTCTTCTTCCGCCACGAAGTCCTTTCAATTACCTCATAATTTCGGGAAAATGAGCCTGCTAACTTCGGCAAACTCGTAGACTTGCAAGCTCGTACAGGTTGTGACTCAGCAAAATATGGATCTGGGGAAGCAAATATCCGGGGTCGTGTTTCTTGCATCCTAACAACATCTTCGGCTTGCGATAAGATGGCAGCTATCGGGCCAGATCCACCGGCTGAGGAGTTCAATCATATAGAAGAGGAGGATTTCAGGCCGACCAAACAAGAAGTATCTGCGACTTTTGATGTGACGCGAGTTGTGTCCATCGAGCCGCCTCCCAATGGCGGATGGGTCGCATGGTCGCAAGTGCTAGGTGGGCACATCATCACCTTCTTTACCTGGGGCTTCATCACATCGTTTGGCATGTTCCAGGCACACTACACTTCGATCGGTCTCTCGACACCCTCCAACATCTCATGGATCGGCGCACTTACCGTCTTCTTCCTACTATCCGTCCCTCTCTGGTCGGGCGCCGCATCGGACACTGGCCATTTCAAACTTGTCTTACGCATGGGCATCGGGTTGTGGCTTGTTGGCATCTTTATGACAAGCATCTGCAAAGAGTATTGGCAATTTGTACTTGCGCAGGGGTTTTGCATTGGGCTTGCAAATGGCTGTATGTTTGTCCCTATGGTCTCCGTTATCTCGACCTACTTCGATGCGACGAAGCGAAGTTTTGCGATCAGTATCACATTATGTGGATCGGGAACAGGGGGTTTGGTAATCCCGATAATGCTCAATAGGCTCATCGATCGCATCGGATTTGGATGGGCGGTAAGGACGTTGGGCTTTATGGCGCTGGTCATGCTGTTGATTGCGGAGCGGCTGCTGAAGAAACGACTGCCGCCAAAAAGCTCGGTGAAGATGCTCGAACCGAGTGAGCTGAAGGATCCAGTGTTTGATCTCTTCGTATGTGATTCGATTCAAAGGTTCAACTACACTATGCTAATTCGCTAAGATCCTTGGATCGGTCTTTTGTTTCGCAGGTCTATGGTTTGCTTTCTTCTACGTAAGTACGATTCAATTTCATCTCTAGTCACATAACTGATCTTTTTCAGATCAATGCGTTCGCCAGAACAACCTTGAGCATGACACTGGAAGAATCAATACCGCTCCTTTTGGTGCTGAACGGCGTCGGCATACCGGGGCGCTTATTGCCTGCGTACATTGCCGATCACTACTGCCGGCCATTGACCATCAGCTTAATCGTCAGCTTTGTCACCGCTCTTCTTCTCTATTGCTGGGCTGCGATCAACTCGACTGCAGGCATGTATGCCTTTGCGGCGCTTTACGGCTTGTTTGCTGCGGGCTTGCAAGCCATGTTTCCTGCAACACTGGCAGATCTGACCTTGGACAACAAGAAGATCGGTACCAGAATGGGCATGGGTTTTGCGCTGTCTAGTTTCGGATGTCTCATTGGAGGTCCTGGTGGAGGAGCATTGGTCGAGGTTGGCAACGGATCCTACTTGTATGGACAGGTGCTTGCTGGTTCGTGCGGCGTATTGGGCTTCACGTGCTTCTTGACTGCAGCGCTGATTCACAAGAAGAAAGCAAAGCAGCTCGATGATGTGTAGAGAAGTATGGTTGCGATTCACCTCCAACTATACCTTTAGTGAAACATGGGTGTTCGTGCCCTCATATACGAATATACATAAAGTGGCCTGTTGGATAGATCACACTTTGAATAGGTGGTGACCAGATCTTGGTGCCTGAGATCTAGCGGGTACATGCGACACTTCGGTCTCAGCATTGACCAGATCAGCGTCCACGTAATGTTCCGAGTAGCCCAGTTAGTACTTTGTATATTAGAGTTGGGCTGATGTTTCCTACCTATACTCACTAGCTGATATCAAACCAATAGTCGAAAACCTGACTTCCAAGGACATGTTGCATTCAGCAAGCAACTCTCCAATGACTGCAAAGTCTACAATGACTAATCCTACCCGCATTCCAGCAACTCTCATACCCTTTTGAATCAAGGTAATTATGATCCTAATGCTCCATGTCGAAATCATGAGTCTCAAATGTAGAATGGGCAACTGCGGGCGTGTAGTCAGGTTTGACTCGCCAGAACAAGTCTTCCGCAAGCCTCGCCCTCAGCAGGAGACACGTAACTCGATCTTAGCTTGGGCGAATGGGCTGCGGATAAGCAAGAAACATTTCGATCGCATCCGCGACAAGCATGGTCAGCCTAAAGCAAATGCGGCTTAAGAGACTGGTACTTTGGCTTTCTAGGACTGAGTCTTTCAACGCACATGATCGCGTTTGGTATCAACAGAGCGAGGAAATTCGGGTGGAATGGCCGTGTCGACTCTTATCAGTCTTTGATAGACGTGCCTGATAAGTTTGTCTAGCTGAAGCATATACTAGCTTTTCAATAGAATGGTACTTCGTAGATTGAATGGAATCCAATCATTGTTGATCCGCCTCAACTTGTCTTTGCATCTTGTGAGTTGTGTATGTGAAGGGGAATTGATGGAAAATAGTAGCAAATTTATCGTAAGAGGTCAGCGCCATATGCGTAGATAGCGCTGATCAGCGGCTGTTTGGAGTGAATAGAGTCGCGACCGGCTTCATCATCTTGTACGTCGCTGTCTCGCCGCTTACAAGCAGTGCTACCATATTGTGCGCCGAGAATGTCCCGCGATAGTATATGAGCCAGCAGGCGTGGGCGTAATGTGTGGTACGGGAAGCTCGCAGTCGCTTCCTAAAGAATAAATAAGCGGAGACGATGCGCAAAGCCTTACCACATGAAGACGCCACACGTGCCGTAGGATCCTTCGGGACGACAACGGGTGTCGCAACAGCGGATCGTATAATACTGTGGCCTTATTCCTAAATTTGAAGTCGAAGCTCAATTTTGTATTTCCCTCACTGTTGCTGTCGACGTGTGCGGTAATCCTGCCCCAATCGGTAGGCCCTTTGTGAACGGATGACAAGCCTCCGTAGACATGGCTTCCAACGGCTTCCTTTCCCTTTCTTTCACCTTAGACCGATGTTGCCATGCGCCAGAGGTCCTCGAGCCATTCTCCCGTTGACGTCCCGCCCCCCAGACTCCTACTCGTCGCGTGAGTCGCCCGCAGCTCCGCGCAGGCCCGGCGGAGCCGTGCACCACATCAGGTTGGAATGAGCAAGGGGCTGCCACTCTGTGATAGCTGCTGGCTCAAAGTTCTTAACCTCGGTCTGCATCAGAGAGACGTGAGAGATGGAAGGCTCAAATGATTGAGAGGTTGTTCCGTTTGACTATACTGGAACAACACACCTGCTGAGCCAAGAGAACATCTTGGAAAGGATAAGTTACACAAGCGCCTACCCCCCCTCACCACTTGAGCGTGAGTATGCGAGGGCAAGCACATGCGGGAAAGGCTGC